GGATGAGCGCCTTCCCCTGGGGGAGAGCGGGGAGGGGGTGAGCGTGGGGTTAAACCGAGCAGCCGCTGGGCCGCTCCTCCGTAACGTGAGATCCGTACCTGGAGCACCCCGGGGCAGTTGAGGGGGGTGCGGCTAGCCCGGCTGGGGCGGCAGGGCCGCGGGGCCCTCTAGGAGCACGTTCACCGGGCTGGAGTGCGGAGCCGGCCGGCGGGACAGGAGAATCCAGCCATGGCGTGATCGCTTTTACAGAAGAAATGCCTTTAAAACCACCCCGAACCCCTATTTACCCTCAAACCCGGAAATCCACCCATAACCAAACTAGTACACTTTAAGAACAAAGTCATAGAATAGCAGTTCTTATCGTTGCAATAAAATGCAAGACCGTGATAAACTTTGCTTACTTGGAAAAGAAATTATTGGAACTTAGTTGCTTATTGTATATTGGTTTATGTTTCTTTGATAGAACTATTCTTTAATCAATGGAAAAGGCGAGATCACTTGGCTTCTTTCATGTTTTTAAATGTTTTCATTAACATAGGAGCTGAGCCAATGACTCTTGGCTCCCCAACATCTCCGAAACCAGGAGCTAGTGCTCAGTTTCTTCCTGGATTCTTGATGGGCGATTTACCTGCGCCAGTGACTCCCCAGCCACGCACTTTAAGTGGCCCTTCAGTTGGTGTGATGGAAATGAGGTCTCCGCTACTTGCAGGTCAGAACTTGTTAAGTGCTGAAAAATTGTCCTGAAAGTAAAACTTTGGGTTGTCTTATTGCTCTATGTGGCTGTTGCAGACTTGACTTCTTGTAGTTTTATAACTTGCTAAATGGTGAACTGTGGTGTGTTCAATGGAGTTTGACTAAATTCTTCAAAGTAGATATGAGTTTAATAAATATTTTAAACATGACAGTTTTGGTACCAGGAAAGGTTGCTTTTACAAGGAAGGTAATATGAACCTCTCGTAATACAGAATCAGTTTATGCAGCTCTTTACAAGTCAATTGCACATACAGCCATTAATGTTTTCCCTTTGTTTAAAACAGAGGTGTCTGCTGGCAAACTAAATGCTGCTTGTGCAAGCTGCTGATTTCTTTGCAATGAATTTTAAAAAGTCACTTACAGATTGTCAGTCTTCTAAAAACTGGATAGAGGAAAACTAAAAAATACTTCTTAATTAGTATCTAGTGGTGTATTTGCAGTCTTGCTGTCTGCTGTGGTTGGCCTGGAGTAGTGACTTTTTTCTAGCTGTAGATTCTCATCCCTTTCCAACCACCTAATTGACCTGACTAGAAAAAGCCCTTGCCCATGTTTCTAAGATTGTGGTATTATATGTCTGTTTTCCTCTCTGACAAGTATGAGTGAGTAGTTCACAGCTTCATTGATTTATTTCATGCCATGGGTGATCCTGGCTTTTGCATTAAATCATTTGGCATAATCTAAATATCTGATGGCGTTAGTGCACTAGTCATTTTGAAGGAGAAGTTGAAGACTGAAGAGCTGCAAGTTAATTTTAGATACTTTAAGCAGAATTGGACTTGATGATCCTTATGGGTCCCTTCCAACTTGAGATATTCTATGATTAGTGGTCTGGTGGTCTCCTGCTTCTTGCTCTTGTCCACCCACATATAAGCCTCTTCTTATTTATGAAATTGAAAATAGTTAGGTGAATTTCACCTAACTGTTTTTAAAAGAGTTTATTACAGTGTCAGAATATCAATTCTAGAAAAGGAGGAACCACTAAGATACTAACACAGGCCTCCCAAAATGAGTGATTAAGTATATCACTTAAACTGAAAACTTTAATGGGAGAGTGCTTTATATAATACACTGTAACAGTTCTTGATTGTGTTAAATGGTTCAGAGAGGAGTCTTGAAGCTCAGAATGTAGGATTGAAAAGTACTTTGGAAAAGCTTAGTTTCCAAATGTTTTGCAGGTGAAAACTGATAAATCAAACTACTTTTTTTTTTTTTTTTCCTTTCTCTCCTGGGGTAAAACCACACAAAGTGCTCAGAGATATGTCAATATCTTTTAGTCAGTTAAATTCTCTGTTACCCTGAAAGTCCCAAAGCTTACAAAATGGGACAGCAGCTGGCTTAACTTCGTCTGGTCTAAATGCAAGCTAGTCCCTGCTCTCAAGAGCTTACATTTTTATTTAATATGAAATTACATGGGAAGGAAAGGAATTTGGACAATGAGAATGTGACAGCATGTGCAAAGTCTGTGTGCTTTTTGGTGTGGTTCTTTAGCATGTCTCAAGTCTTAAAAACTTTGCTTTTGCATCTCTGCTACAGGGAGGTTAGTCTCTGAAACAATTAAAATACACTACTAACCTGCCTCAAAATAGGAAGATGTAGCTATGCTCAGAACTTCATAGAAAGAACAAGTGCATGAAAGTAGTGATTATACTGGGTTAATAAGAGATCTGAAAGTTTTAGATGATACTTGTGTAATAAGGCAGTTTCTGAGATGTATGTGGTATTCTTATGTAGAATATTAAAACCTGAAAGTTTGGTAGGCCAGATGATTTTGCAAGCCCCCAGTGAAACAATCAACCGTCTTTCATGGCTGAATTTACTGTTGAAGTCTCAAGAACAAGTAGCAGTGGTGTAAAATTACAAGTTTTCTCATGCTTTTTTCTTGTTCCTTTTAATCGCAGGAGGATCTCCCCCACAACCAGTAGTCCCTACACATAAAGATAAAAGTGGTGCTCCGCCAGTTAGAAGCATATATGATGAATTGTCTAGTCCTGGACTTGGATCAACGCCTCTAACCTCAAGAAGACCAGTAAGTGGCTTAGGTACTGGCGTATTCTTAGCAGAAGATGTGAGTTAGTTTACTGCTTCAGTGGATTCTTTAACTCAGTTGTGTAAACTGCTGTAGGAGAATGACCGGTGAGTCTTCAGATCATGCTGTTGCTTAATCTGCGTGTTTAGTGTGCCTGTTTCTGCGTAGTCTAAATGAGAGCTGCAGTCGTGGAGCTTATTTCTTTCCTATCCTTACTGATTTTTGAGACTGTAGAGAACGAAAAATGCAAATCGTGCCTCTGCTATGCTTTGTGCTTGACAAATGCAGACTTGTTGAAGCTTTTCACCTTCTTGTAAATTTATTGGGTTGCTGATTGCCAGAAGGGTCCAAATGTGTGCTATATTTTCTTTTAGTGGGCAATAGAGGCATTCGCTGAAATAGAAGGAATTTTGTGCTGAGTAAAATATGTAATCAAAATTTGGGCACGGAGGTGGGGTTAATTTTAGAAGAGTAATAGTAATGTTTCTAGAAGGTCATTCTAATAAGCTCTGTTACTTACCTCAACTGAGCAGTCAAGTGTTAGTAGGTTCTTTTTCAGTGAACATGATTCTTTTGATGCAAGGAGAATGCCTTTCACTGAATAAGCAGTGTTTTTACTGAGTGTTGCCTTCTGAAAAGTTTATCCTGAAAGCTCTGGTTCTCTGTGAAGGACATGATCTGATACTGTCTTAAAAGACTGGATATTTAAAAAAACCCACCAAACAGAGCAGCTGTCAGAACACATGTTGCTAGGTCTACAAATGCTCTAGTATGATCTTGTATCTGAGAAATGCCGCGATTCAGGCTAAATATACACTAAAATGGTTTTGGATATTGAAATCAGTCTATGTTAAAAAGAAAATAACTACTGGCATCTGAAACTCAAAGTATACTTTTCTTCAGTGCACTTGCACTAAGTAGTTGAGAGGGAAAGTAAGTCTAGTGATGAGGAATACGAGTGGGGGTTATGCTCTCATGATTTCTAAGCCCTTTAGACGGTGAAAGTCAAATGCTGGTAACTTGGGATACTGGTATCCTTTCCATCAGGATACACATAAATGTGTGAATTACTATACTACAGCGACAGTGAGATGCCTATTTTGAAAAAGGTTAAACTGTAAGGTTTTGAGTATTGATACCTACTTGGTTTCACAAAGCATATGTGATTGGTGTTAGGTAATGGATCACCCTAAGCCTGAATAAGCTTTCTTCTTGTATACCAGTAGCTCTTTCTTGTTTGATGATAAAATATCATAGTCAGACCCTGAATCCTGTTGCTTGTGGTGCTTCCTTTCTGTAGTTTGCTTTGCACTCTCGTACTATCTCTGATTTCATGTAAGCCTCTAATCAGGTAAGTTAACTGTATTCTTTTCTAAGGCTTAGTAATCATCTGGAAATTCCAGAATAGTTGAGGCCTACTGGATGTCCAGGCTGTCTGCTAGGCTGTGTGATAGAATGTAAAAGCATTGTCAAATAACTTTTCATTAATAATTTTTAATAATGTTGTATTAAATATACATGTAAATGTTTGTTCTTACTCTTAAAAGTTAGAAGTAGCTTAAGGCAGTTAATATTCTTGCTTGATGCTTAAGTTGCCTGAAAATGATCTCGTCTGATATGAGGAGTGTACCTGTAAGAATGATTTGTTACTTTCTGTATTTTAATGCAGGCCAGCTTTTCTCTAACACAGAGCTCGTTCGTTGGAACTATGCCATCAACTCCTGGAACAGGTAGATATCCTGTCAAAATATATAATTTACCTTTTTATTGCTTTTCTTGATACACAAAAGTCATCACTGTTTGAGCTACATCAACTCCTTGCTAACTCCTTGTGAAGGAGTTGCATCTTTATTTACTAGCTTTTCAAAAGGTATGTGGATGTGAATAGGAAGTACTTTTCTGCTCTGACTGAATTTCAATCAACTTTACTTACTCCTTATTCAAACTTTGTTGAACTGAGGCCAAAGGTAGTTGTCCTTGAGTGAAGCAGCTGAGATTGATGGGTTGCCTTCCATCTTCATAGGGTTTCCTATCTTGTGTATGAACCTGTGGCTTCTTGCTAGGTTAATTCTGCTGTCTTGTTCCTATTTGGCTTCTGTATTAAGCTGCTGGTGTTTAGAGGTCAAGGAGAAGCCAGGTTGCTAGTCATAAAACTTACTAGCATGCTTGCAGATGTGAAATTTAGATTGACTTGCTGTTTGTCTGTGTCTGCAAATAAATCTCCTTCAAACTCTTCCCCCATATGCAAATGCTCGATGCTGAATTTATTCTTTTACTGTAGGCTCTTAAGCTTTTCTGTCTTGCAAAAGTGATTTGTCAAACAATGCTTTTTCAATTTAACAGCTTCAAATATGTTCAGTCCTGCAAGCATTGGGCAGCCTAGGAAGACCACTCTATCTCCTGCTCAGCTAGATCCTTTTTATACTCAAGGTGACTCCCTGACTTCAGAAGATCAACTTGATGACACGTGGGTAACTGTATTTGGGTAAGTTGATTTCCGAAGTATTAGAAAAACCATGGGTGTGTAGTCTTTGCAACATATGGAGCGAAGCAGTTGGGCATTGCTGTTGTCTGGCATTCCTAGATTCTGAAAGAAATACAACTGTGACTAAAGCCAGCAAATGCATAGATTATAGTGAAGTACCTTAACTGCAGCTACATGTTAATTTTTCAAGTTAGAAAGGCAGCATTCTACCACTGAGGTGTGTGATGAAGTAAAAATGCCTAGAAGATAATAGTCTTCAAGTCGCTGCTTCTAAAATGGCATTAGCACACGAGTCTTTTGGATTTCTAAAAACCCTTCATAGGATTGTATTTTGGCACCAGAATTCTTAAGCTACTCGTTATAGTTTTTTGAGTATTTTTTTCTGTCTTTCAGATTTCCTCAAGCATCAGCTTCATATATTCTTCTACAGTTTGCTCAGTATGGAAACATATTAAAGCATGTGGTATGTCATAGTTTGAGACTTATTTCTGAAAACATGCTGGCTCATTCTTTAAAAGGCTGAATTTCACGATTTTCACTGAATTTCATACAGATGTCCAACACGGGAAACTGGATGCATATTCGGTATCAGTCTAAGCTTCAAGCCCGGAAAGCCTTAAGCAAAGATGGAAGAATTTTTGGTGAATCTATCATGATTGGTGTCAAGCCATGTATAGATAAAGTAAGTTAACAGCTGCTTTTATTTAAATATAAGGCACTGCTTTTGGGCTTCCTTTTTTTTTTTTTTCCCCTGACCTCTTCAATGTTTTTCTTTCTGAATTGCAAAGCATAGACAGTTCAGTTATATAGGTTATACCTTACATGAGTTTTATCTTAACTGTTTAACAAAATTTCCTGCTG